CAACCCTTCCCATTCAACCTCTAACATTTGGCAGAGAATTTAAGATATTTAAAATATTGTGACAAAGCTGCTTTCAGTACAGGTTAATAAGTTTGCCTTCGTAAGAGTTTGGGCTGCAACAAGTGTATGCATTCTTACACTGAAGAGTAAAAATTTTGTCTTCACTGAAGAAAGAGCTCTTTACATTACAGATGTAGCCACACTGTTTTTGAGAAACGAGGGAACGGCACAGTGTTCCCTTCGCTCCTTGGACACCGTGTTCTTCTCTTAAGACTCAAGGACATCTTAAGAGCATTACTTCAAAGTAAACTGGAAAGAAACACATGATAATTCCAGTTTTGCCTGTATAACAACCGTTGCAGATGATATGAAAAGCAATTCAATCAGAACTAAAAAGTTGTTCCAATCTATACAAAGCTTACTCAACCCTAAAGCCCCTGAATCACTTTGCCAGCTCCTGTGAATTTCCAGGGGAAGGCAATGTACTCTCAGGTTCTCATGAAAGAAATATTTAGACTCAATGTCGGCCTGCCACAAGACAAAGCACAGACTATTCCTTGTCTGCTTTCAACCGGTCTAAACACATGTGCAGTTGCCTCCCATGTTCAGGAATATCCTTGAGCACTGGAAAGCTCTACAAAAAAGGTGGTATAGGAGTTGCTTGAGAACACAGAAGCTGAATGTGTTTCCTTACTAGAGGCACTATCCTACCTGTACACCTGCATTTGGTAAAAAACATTTGTTTTCTAATTGCCATGAAAATTCCAAGGTCGACTTTCAGGTCTAGCAATCAGGTTGGTAACGCAAGCATCAAAATCATGAGTTCTGCAACAAGAAGAAAGTAAAGGCATACCTGTATTGCTTATGCAGCAACTTCTCCTGCGTAACAGGGAAAAAGAGAAATTCTAAAGGAAACTGTCTTGAGCATTTAAAAAAAAACCACCAAAAAACCACCAAACCAAAACCAGGGAATGACTGGAAAATAAAATCTCTTTTGACAGAAATAAAATCGAGTCTGGAAACGTGTCCCTACAATATCTAACTGGAAACGTTCAACTCTATAGCTGTACTCAAGCATTACGGCCACAATAATGCCTACAACACTGTGGAATGAGGATCCAGCTGGCTGAAAGTGAGGTAATAGTTTGTAATAGGTCAGAGTTCTAAAAAAGCACTTTTACATCTTACAAGTCCAAATAAAAAAAGGACACATTTCATACATGTTGGGCTTTCTCACCAGAACTGTACGATAATTAACTCCACACCAGGACCCCTACCACACTAAGCCTTACTCATCTTCAATTATATGCTGCAGCAAAGATTTACCAAGCGACACCTAAACTTCAGTACAATATGAAACTTGATTCTTAAAACTTTATACACACAAAATATAAAATTACTTTTCTAGGATGGGGTAGGGGAGAGGGATTCTCCTTCATGATACTTGGACTGAAAAACTAGTTTTCAGAGACTGCCACAAATATTATTCACAGTTTCTTGCTGTCAGGCTTTTTCAGCTACATCAACGTAGTACACAACAATACTGTTAAGTCCAATAACTACATTGGATGGACATTCTCGGGAATAAGAGAAAACTAGTGACGAAAATTACCCGAAAGGCCTCCTCCTAACGACGTCTCGATTTTCTACAGGGTTGCAGTTCGTCTATGTTACACGTTAACGCGATCTCAAAAGAGCAGCAGGAGAAAGATTTTAAACCTTCTCTCCTGTCCAAGTGATCCAAGTAACATAAGCATCCACTTACCAGAAATAACGTGAGAAACAAGGCTTTTGTTACAAAGACAGCAGTGAACCACACCTTCCCACACCAAAATATGGTCAACCAGGGATTCTGGCCATGCAAACTGCTGGTCAGCAGAAAATTAAGCATGCTAATGGACAAACATTAATTCCAATCATATATTTAAAATGATCCCAAATACTACTAGTTAGCTACACTGAAAGCGCCTGTAAAAAATATGTAGTGAAAAATGAAACAAAACCTTAGTGATCACTGCAGCACTTAGAGTGATACTAGTCTTACGTGATGCATCACCTCAGAGAAAATACATTAGATGGGACTTTGAAACAAAAAGTTAACATTAAAAGGTGCACCTGAATATTACAGACTAAATTTACAAAACCTACAATAAGGTAAAATATATATCTTTTGAATAGTCAGCAGCTTTTTTTTAAATTTGTTTTTATTTTTTGAGAGGCTCATGAAATTTTAAAAAGGGACCACTAACTAATCTCAACCATGCTTCACAAAACAATAATGGCTATTTTATATTGCAGTTACCAACGTAATGCAATTAGTGCTTAAAAAATAATCTACACTTTTTTCTTTTTTTTCCTTTTTAAACAGAGACCTTTGGAGGAAATACGGTTGTTCAAAAGCTTCTCGAAAAAGAAAGATTACCTGAATATTAAGTTATCACAGATCAAGTGTTGTGTTTAAAAGCTTTGCAGACATGAGTATTACAATCTTCAGGTCTCAGGACATTTAAACTGAGAAAGTTACGCGTTTGGTTTGTTGTTTGTTTTTTGTTTTTTTTTTTTTTTTTTTTTTTTTAATCCACTTTCTAACCAAAGCAAATAAAGAGTACTCAACTTCTCACTATCTATTTACAATTCTTAGCCTACAGTCTGAAATGACAAGACAAATTCTCTTTTAAAACTGCAGCATTAAAGGGTAGGCACACCATTCTTCTGCTGCACGATTGTCACCCACTTAAACGTACACATACAAAATATTTAGGTTAGTAAAATGAGCACTCCACATACACTACAGTGACAAGTTTTATAAAACTCAACTCATGTTGCTTAAATAAAGACAACTGCAAAAGGTTAAACCTCTCTGAACAGTAAAACTGTGTTACTTTTTTTTTTTAAAACTTGCAGCAAACTTTCTATCATAACCTCAAACAGCAGATGAAACCATACGTTTAACTGCGCCTTTATTGCAACCACCAGCTAAACTGGAACGTATTGCAGAGTTTATATACTGCTATTGAGCTTAAACTGCTTTAAACGCCAAGATGACAACTAGAGAGCTACGAGGAACCAGGATTTTGAGTACTAAAATATTTTAAGTAAACAAAAACAAAGTATACTTGGGGCCAAATGCCCAGTCCATTTCAAGAATGAGCAGTGCATATTTAAAATGACAGCAATGGTGTGCCTAACCTTTGAAAATATGAAGTTGCTGGAGAGGGGGAGAGGCTAATAGGATCAACTGTTCCAGAAGTCATTCAGCATCCCTAGGGCTATCTAGACCACCCTCCCGTGAGCTTTGAGAAACCACTTTCAATCACTGACATCACTTAATGCTTTCACGCAAAAACTCCAATGCTTCTTTTCATTGTGCAAACAGGGAAAAAAAAAAAAGGTAATTCTATCTACCTTTTGCACAGATTAAGACCAAATTGTTTCTACCTGAAGAACCAACAATTTTGATTTGGTCATATTGTGGTAAGTCCAGTAAGCTCCACCTAGTTACTGACCACTCCTGCAGAAAGTATCAAAGATAAAAGTTCTGTACAAAACTTATCCTGGATCTCCATATAATGGTAACGATATCATCATATTGAAAAAAAATGGATTTGTGGTTTACGGAGTGCTTTTTACGGTGTTTAAATGCTTATTCTAGCATGTGCTAAACCACTATTAAAATAGATTAAATAAAAACAATAACAAAAAAGCAGGACTTAGATTAATTCCTGCTACTGGCAACTGTAATATTTAAAAAGGAAACACCCTTTCACTGAGTGTTCGACCCTGACAGTATTACAGATAGATATGATGCAGAGCCTGAATTACATCAGGCTACCAGTGTTTTACTTCTTCCCTGAACATTAACAAGCTCCTTCACTAATGTGGATATTTGGGCAGACTACTGAGGTTGTAACGTTTGAGATCACTGTTTTGTGGGCTTGTTTTTTTTCTTTTTTTCTTTTTTGCAATATCACAGTAGTTTGTTACACAAATCCCCCTTCCCCAGATTAGAGTCATTTAAACTAGCTGCTGGAACCACATAGTTTAGTAAACTCAGAATCAAGTCTGTAAAAAGCATAAAGGTCACAAAGAACCATAGTTCTGTTGTAATGAGGCATACCCTAATACATCATTTAGTGTACCCTGACTGCTCCTGACTGTGAGAAGCTTGTCTTCCGTGAGATAAGGCTACATCCTCAAGCAGGTGAGTCTAAATATCACCCTTCAAAAATATCAAACAAAATTACAGCGAAGGTAGTGTTACAAATAATTAACTGACAAATTCTGAAGGTAGTGTATGTAAGTTTTCCCTCCCCTCCCCTCCGGGTGAGCACTAAGCAGACAGTGAATGTTAAGTATGCTTAATTTGGAAAGAAAATGGTGGAGAGCCTAATTAGACCCAATTGATTATCCATCTAATAAACAAATCTCTGAGTTCAAGAAAGGTACCATTCCTAAATAATTTGAGTTAGCTTAGATCTTTCAATCAACTGGATCAAAGAAAAGGAGGGCAAAAAAGATTTCTGAAACATTTTGAAGAACAACAGTCTGATTCTCATGAAAAAAAAGCCTGGTTTTAAGAGAGTATCAGTTTAACAAAGTGGACTTATTTCTATAAAGGCAGAAATGAAAAATCCAACATCAGAAGTTCAGGCAGGCTCTACAGGCAAGATGTCCACTTCCACAGATCTGCATTCTTGTGAGGTAACTCAACTCTCTATTACAGAGAAACATGCAAAAGGAAAAAAAAAAAAAAAAAAGAAAAGAAAAGAAAAAAGTGGGTAGTGGGCAGGTGAAGGAGGGAAACTGCGCCATACCAGGCCAGAAAAATTTACAAATGTGACATTCAGAGCACACCTTTCACCTGTGTCCACACAAGTCTATGCTAAACTGCAAAGTAAAGAGCATTGCAGTAAATAGGAGAATCAGGTGCGCTCAGTGGTGGTTGAACTATGCAGTAGTGCTCACCCAGTTTGCAAAGTAATTGGCACTCTACGACATCCCTACTCATCTTTCAATTCATTCGCACTTTGTGCTGCTTCTCCCTGGGGATCTAATTCAATCTTTACTGAAACATCCTGCCCCTCCGACCTCATTAATTTCATTTTTTTCTTTGGAGGGTTTTTCAAAGTGCCCAGCCTCTCTTTAACTTTGTACTCCAGTGTACTGTGGGGGATCCCATAAATACTCTGAGCTTTGGAAACACTCATTTTCCCACTCATAACCACAGAGATTGCTTCCTCCAGTATCTCGCTGTTGTACTGTCTGTATCTCCCTCTTTTCTTCCTAGGTTGCTTGGAGCCAGGATCTCCCTCTTGATCTGAGGTGGGATATGGCTGTCCAGAGGTAGACTGCTCAGCATCTGAGCCCCAGGAATCTGGTCCAGCATCCAGCAAACTTCTCCTGTTTTGTTTTGGAAGGATAGCCCTTAACTTTTTGCTAAGCGCGCTCTCCGTTTGTGAACCCATTACCAAAGAGCTATAGCTGTACTGGTCACCAGTGCGGGACTCCCATGAAAGGTCCATGCCTCGAACTTGTGGTATCTTTAAATCCACAGGAGACGAATGGCTCACGTCCTTTTTCCCATCCTGTTTAGTTTGAAGTGCCATTTTTTGAAAGGCAGAGTTTTCTGTAAGAAAAGGAAGGTCGCTGATGTTGCTGAGTGCACCATTTCCCCTGAATTTCATGCGGCTGAAATTGAATTCGTAGTGTGGTTTTGCCCAAGAAGCCTCCCTGGATAATATTAAGTGCTGTCCATGATTCTGTAGTCCAGAGGGCCCATGGCTGGCAGCCGTAGAAAACTGGTTTCTGCTCAGCAGTTCTTCACTAATCTGGAGTGATCGAGCCAGTGGTACTTTAAGAGATGTGGAGTGGCCATAACCTTCCCTGGTTCCATCCTGCAAGCTTCTTGGAGGTACCCCATCACCACTCTGTAGTCCCTCTGGATGGTGCTGGCTGGGTCTCCCAGGTCGCCTAATTGGATGGAAGGAAACTGATGTGAGCAGGACTTGCACAGGTAGGGAGGGATGGGTGAGGGGGCCACTCCTTTATTAGAAGGCCTTGCTTGGGTAACATCACTTTTTGTGTTATTTATTTTTCGCTATTTTTTATTTTTTTATTCTAATTTTTTTTTTTTAAGTCTCAGCATCAGTCAGTTTTAAAACTTGTTCACAAAAAAAGAGAAGCTTTTTGGGCAAAGAAAAATGAAACCTGTTGGCTGGTCTCTGGTTGGGTTCACAAATTCTCGGAGTAGAAAAGACTTCGCGCAAGCGTCTGAAAATAGCACCTCAATTACAAAGTAGTAATCAATCGCCATAGATCTACACACAACTGTGTTACTGGTGTGACGTTACCACTAAACAAGTACAGTAATAAAAGAGTAAGCCAAAGTGCAACATATTCAACATGCAAATATGACTGCCACCTACAGCATCTACACATAGGTGGAAACCTTGGATGATGTTTGCTTACATCATATTGAAGAACTGCTGCTCAGGATGGGAGAAAAAAAAAAAGCTCAGCAGGCCTCAAAGGTATTCGCTTGACTTTCATTCATTAAGCACCAAATATGAAAGCACTGCATTACACTAGACTTACCAAATTGCTCTCTTAACAACTAATTGCATATATATATATGTCTCTGATTCTTATTTGATACATAGTATGGCTAGGAAAAAAAAGAAAAGATCTAATTTCCAACTGTCCTCCAGATCAAGGGTTAATAACAGAAAAGGCAGTATGTATTTTTACCATTTTCCTTTCGTCACAAGCATTCTTTTTATGACACGAAGTGCTACTACTGCAGATAAACACGTGTATTTTAATATTTTGCTTGCTTAGCCCCCTGTAGTAACTAAGCCACACTACTTCCAAAATCCGCCCCCAAACTTTTCCATGTTCAACATACAGATTAAGGAAGAGACTAGTAAGCAATTCTATTTTAATGCTCTGGGACACTATGCTGGTGCGAAGCCCTGTAGCTAAGTCAGCGTTATTTAAGGATAGGATATGTACTGCTGAAAAGCTACATTATTCTTTTTAACATCACATTGGGATTAAAAAAAAAATCTTTATAGAAAAGACATCCATTGAAAGGATCTGGCATATAACATACACAACGCTCGACACATACACTGCTAGCTTGTCTCCAGGATGCAACAGGTCATAGTTGAAGTGGGTAAAACAACAGTCAAGAAAGATTCAGAACAAAATCCAGAGAAATGAATGAAAGTTTGCTATTCTGGAGAACTCTCTCAAACAACGTGCATTCTCTGCCCCTTCTACAGTGCGTATCAGCATCAGAATGCACACCAGTGATTCTACACTTAAATAAAGGTCATATTGGCAGAACTAGAGCAGAGGGTCACGCCTGATTTCACTGATGCTAAACAGAGCCACCCCTCATTTACCACACACCTGTACAAGTAATCACAGGTGCCAGTATGCCGCATCCTCTCCAGACCCACAGAAGTGATGGGGAAAGTGCCAGATGCTGGCCCTGTCATCCCTGTGTGTTGGACTTTGTCCCTCACTAGGTACACAAACAAGGGAACAAACAATACACAGCCTCGGTGGCTTCTGCTGCCTTCCTAGGAAAATAAAACTGGAAATAACCTATTCAGTACTGAAATAGAAGAGCTGGTGAGGAAGGTTTATGTTAAAGAATTGTGAAAAAGTACTAAGACTAACTTTTAAACAAGGATTGAAGTATTTATTAATAGAACTATTAAATGGAAGAAGTAATCTTGAAGGGAGAAATCTGAGATGGTAATATTTTTTCCAAAGAGAAATACAAAAGTTAAATCAGTCGTTAGCAGTACATGGGACTGGTGGTGGCGGAGGGTTGTTAGTTTAAAATTTCAAATTTTTCAAAGGCTGTTTTAAAGCTAAATCCAGTAATTAAATAGCAGTTTAAAATAGCAGTTTAAATCATATACTGTTTCTGTACTTCACTAAAAAAATTACTTGTTCACAGTAGCTTCAGATAAAATTCTCCCATCAACACCCAATATCCCTCTTACTCCCGGTCAGCCTCTCCGGTACCATTAACTCAAGCCTAGCTAAGAGTAAAGGGTTTCTAAATGTACGCAAATGGTGACCACTAGAAATATGAAACCTAAAAGAGATTTTTTTGATATAACATTCTTTCACACCTTGAACTAATTAAGGCAAGAGTAGTACACCACATATTTTATGTTTTTTTAAAAACCACCTTGCTCAATGCTACAGTACAATCACAAATCCAAAAAGCCATATTTAAAGTTTTCTGAATTACCAGACTCTCCTCCCGCCTTTTCTTTTTTTAAGTTGTGGTTTACAGTAGGAAATATTAACAAAGAGCATGCAGTGATTTAAATTTAATTCAGCTTGGATCATCACCTAAATCATTGCTACCCCTAAAATAAACTTTCCTGCTAGCTAACTTTCCCCTAAGTGAAATGAAATCTAAGTTATATTTAACTGAACTTGCATCTCCATGGACATCAGTAAACCCAAGAAGCAGGTAATGGAAAGATCTTTCACTAAGTACTAAATTGGCCAAAATAGCATCTATTAGAGTTCTTAACTGCAAATTAAACCTGTCTCACTTTGCAGCAACTCTTATTTGGCAGGTGGGGTGAAGGTATTTGCCAAAGGTACAAGTCGAAAAAGACATTACTCCAAAGGGTTAACACCAAAAGCAAGTTAAAATTAACAGGAGATAAGCACATGTTTTTAGTAAAAAACAGTTTTAGAAGGTCATAGTAAGTTGCTTTCTCTTACCCATTTCCCGGAGTACTGGAGCACCCTGGAGAATGACTCAGAGAGGTGCTGCCGGCACAAGGACTCTTCTTAGTGGATAAATCAAGCACACCGTCTGTAGAGACAAAAGAATGACTTCAGTGTTTGAAGAAACAGAATCAGCCACATCATTCCTTGACAAAAGAAGTCTTTGGGGCTTAAGTCACATTTAGCGGACAGCATTTTCTCTTGTATTTTATTTTAAACAAACTAAAGCTTGTATTTGTTTTCAATTTGGCTTACAAGTGACTTCAACATAGACCTCAGAAGTCACAAAAAAATTTGGCAAAATTAAAAGTGCATCTGTTACAAGAGCCAGAGAATAAAAGATGACCTACAAATGACAGTTCACGATACAACACAGCCCATTGCATAACTAACTCTTGGCGGTCCCAAAATGACACAATCTTCAAATTCCTGAGATACTCCTCCCCCTTAAAGGGAGGCTTTAAATCAGTATTTGAAATTTTTTTAGTCCAAATCTCTGTAGGAAAATTAATTAAGAATTTTTTAATGGAAACTCACTTTCAAATGAACACACACACCAAACATGAGACTCCTCACCTGACAACTAGCTTCACGGGTTTTTTTCCTTGTCTCCAATGGGTCTCTACTGGCAGAGCTGCTGCCTTTCCCCTCTCCACTGTGCCATTTTCCTCCTTCTCCCATATACCAAATTGTTTTTCCTGCTAGACTACTTCTTCCATTCTCACTGATGGCACTTCCTCACACTCACCCATGCTTCCCTGCAAGCCCTTACGTAAACTATGCATTTCCAGGCAACAGAAAAGGGAGCGCTTTTTGCTAGAAAAGCCTTGCTCCCACTGCACTCAACTTGAAATTCTGGGCATTTTAGTAAGGGCAACATTGTCATACAAGCAGCACAGCCATCTGAAAATCCTGGAAACTTTGAAACGAGGAATTTATGAGGCAAAAATAAATGAAACCTGTTGGCAAGGTAAAGTAGAGACATTTTGTAGCTCCTCGCTCATTCCATCTACTCAAGTAAATACGACCCAACACAAAACAACGTAAGATAGCTTTCAAATTGCTGAAAGTTCTCATTTGACATATGGAGAAAAAACCATAATAAACAGTGAACTAGAATTAACTTATGGAAAGCTGTTCCACCCACTGCATTTGGGAACACACCATAGCCCAAACTTAAGCAAGCAGAGAATTCAATCTTCCTTTTGAACAAGACTTATGCAGCCACAAGATACAGAGACTGGATCAAGTAGCACCTCCTTTTCAAGACGCTATACTAAACAGCACAGGCTGCTGCCAGAGGCACTTGCATTCGTGTTTCCTCCATCAGAAGGGTCACTACGACCTCGAAGTCTCTGAGGGCAAGTAGGGCCAGCCTCACACTCCACAGAGAAGTTTACAACTAGCTGGTTCCCCTCAACCCACTAGAACAGAAGAAACATAACAAAAAGCACCACTAACAGTCTTTCATGACAGCCTCTTAAATCTCTCATTAAGAAGTTTGGCAAAACTTCTTCCCAATTACACTAAATGTAAATTGGAAAAAAAATAATTACATCAACAAACAGATTACTGTATAAGTTAACATGCACACGTTCTAATTCCATAACAAGTGTTATGAACATTACAAATTATCTTACAGCTTTTCCGTCACATGATAGCTAAAGAACAGTTCATGTACATGCTTTCTTCTTCACCACACAATCCTCTAATTAAAAAAAAGGAAAAAAGACAGAAAACTGATTCTCTCCCAATCTCTTTCAGCAAAAAGTCTCACAATGAAAACAGTTTAACATTTATAAACACATACACAAAAGACACTTGTGAAATACATTTAATAATAAATCAGCTAGAAACAAATGCCTATGAGCTAACTGTACAGGTCCTCACTTCAAGAAAGACACCATACAACCTTTCACAGCAGTTTTGCAACTGAAGTGTGGTGACAACTTTCAATAAGTGCTGCAAGTGCAGTAAGTGTCCAGACACCCAAGCTGCGTATTTTTGGACACGTAAACTTAACCTTTTCACAAAAGGTTTCATAAATGTAAGTCCAAAGAATAAAGGGATTTTTTTTTTTCTTTAAAGGCACCCTTTCCACTTGAGGATGGACAGCCTACTTTGTATTTGATAGAGTGATTTCAGACACTAACACATTTCTAAAGAAGGGTAAAGGGGCTAATTTTAATCCTGTCAGTAGGATACACTTACGATAACCTCTATTCAACAGTTTCAGAAAAAAAACCAACCACATCCACATACTATAATCACTCACAGAATTTGCTTGTTAAGAAACATTTTTGAAGCAAGGTTTTCAAATTAAAAGAAGCTCTGCAACACTGTTACAAGTTATTCAATCTGTGCTCTGCAGAACAAATCTATTTTTAAGGTAGAAGAGAGACATTTCTTCCCAACACATAAACCTGTAAGTTTTGTACAGTTCATGGGTATCATTTTTTGCAGCCTTCACAAAGAAATTTCTCACAGACTTTTAAAAGATACTGTTTTCACACTATGACCAGAAAGAAAATAAATCAGTCGGACCGTGTACTGATCTTCAGAAAGGAGACGACATTATGGTGTTCATGCCCACGTGAACTTGTCTTATCAGCAAGCATACAGTCGATTTTGGCAGACTGTTTCTTGCAGCTCCCAGCAGGAACAGCACACTTGTCCGCAGCGTCTGAAGCATATCCATCCCCCTTTGCCCTTCTTCAGAAAAATCACTCATGTCTACGGGCCTACATTCTTTCACAGAGTCTCTTCTCTCCCAGCCACATCTAGCTAGTCATTATTTTACTGTAAAAACATCCACCGCTTTTCCACTTTACATTTTACGTAAAAGTGCAAACTTCTAATTGCCTGGTTTTGCAACAAGAATGCCATTAATGGATTGCCATAGGATGCAAGACACTGATAAGAGTCCTACCTTGTTCACTAGGTTCTGACTGAGACTTTCTGACAGTAAGGTCCAGAGGTGAGTCTTGGTCAGCCATGAGAAGTTTGCTGAGCACAGGGTTCTGAGCAGTTGCAGCCGTGGGAGAGGAGGCGACCAGAGATGCTTTCAGCAGGCTTTGGTTCTTTGTGCTATTGGGCTGGCTGGAGTCCTGAGTAGAGCTATTTTTTGAGGTATATTCAGCAGCAAACTGTCGGATCATTCGCTGCATGATCTCACGGGCCACTAGGGGAATATTGGGGTCAGAGACCCTAGGACTGTCTGTAAATATTAGAGATTTTTTTTTAAGGAAGCACTTTAAGTAAAACAGCTTTTATATTAAGTCATTGCTTATTAAAAAAAAAAATCTAGGAAAAAAAAAGAAAGCCAAAGGTAAAATATTTTCTGTAGAAAATGTACTTTAATCTTAGAACACCTGAAAAAGAACCATTGATGATTCTGGGATAACCTTCTTAAAGTAACAGTTTCCTAAGAGGAAAATGCAATCTCATCTTTTGTTTTCAAATACAGATATATTTGACCAGACCTTTAAGAGGTGTGGAAACAGAAAGGAGAGCTAGACTCATGAAGGAAAGTGCCAAGTAATGAAACTCATTCCAAAAAAATTGAACAGGTTATTCAGTGGAAGAACTGAGTAACTTACCTGCAGCTACAGAAGGGGAGAAGGGGGAATAGAGTTGCAGCGGTCCCCTACAAATGTACTGGGAAATAAAGTCCTATAGTTTGATTCTTCAGAATAATTCACATGAAGATCAAACATTCAAGTGTCTTCCATCCCATTCTAGCTACTTCTTTTGACACTTCAATCATTATAGTCAATGCAGTACCAGGTATTAACCAAAGAGTTTTCAAATATACAAAAAAAAAAAATCAAAATGTGTCATATGAAAAGTAATTCTATTGCTAGAAGAGCTGCTAAATCTATTAGTAACAAATATGAAATGGAACAGGTAGACATTCTATTTTATTTATATGAAACTGCATAAATACAAAGATATTTGGGGATGTGGGCAACCCAAAAATATATTGGCAAAAATCACTGTTATAGACCAGTAGTAATTTGTGATGTCAAAACAAATCTGTAACTCCTAAATCATAGAACCTAAGTCCTCCCACTTCACCTCAAACACTGCTTGTGTCCTCTGGCCAAATCACGTTTACAAAAAAAAAACACACCAACACAACTACCCCACGACTCTAGAAATGGCTCCAAAGGTTTGATTTTCTATTTCTGAAGAAACATTCAGAGAAAATTGCGCAGTAGAAGACCAAACAAATCTTTAAAAGCAGCTCTCAAAATGGAACAATAGTCAAGTGTTTACTTCCTCTTTAAAAAAAATTGCCCAGGTTGAAAGGAAATCTATTGAGATTGAACTATTAGAAGCATTAGCAAAATCTTCTGTGGGACATTTCAGCATTAGCTTTGCCTTTTACCACCATTTTCTACAAAAATTCATGAATCCAGCAAACCAGCATTAGGGTATCTGTAAAGGGTGAATGACATGAAGGTTTGAGAACATAGTTGCCCACAAACTAGAGAGCAGCACTAAGCAGCTACTGTGTTCCTTGATAAAAAAACATATTGAGCTTTAAATACTTAAATCAAGCCCAAACTTCTCCCTGATAAGCACAGGTTTCTAAACGTAAGATCTTATACAGTCAACACAAGTATTCTTATAGGGGTATAGCAGCTGTAAACTTCTGAGATGTTTATGTAAATACTTAATCATTTTCTTGTAAAATCTACAGGATGTTTTATTGTTGTAAAGGATGAGCTACTAGAGTTTTAAGAAATCACCAAGAGATGGGCCAAACTTAAATTTAGGTACATTTAAATTCTCACTTTCTTCCCAAATGGTCCACAAGGACCCAAGCCTAGAGAAGTATAGAGGCTTTTTTCTGCTATGATGACATCTCTTCCATTTTCTAAGCTCTCTACTATAACCTGCTGAAGGACCTGTGAAAGGCTCTAGGAAAGTCCAAATGGACACAAACTGATGGCATGATCACGCTGATGCCAACTATTTGGCATGTGCTTGTAATGTATACAAGTGGGGCTGGCAGGAACACAGAGCTCTATGGCTCCTACATTTTCTGAAGAAGAATCATGCCTTTAACATGCACCCATGTTCACACGTACAATTTAATAATGCTTAGAGCTGAACATATTTCCAAATTCAGGGAGAAAATACTATATACGCCTACTGCCATGTATCTTTGCCATCTGCAACTTCAACAAAATCAGCGCAGTGACTACCGAGAGCTTTCTAGTGCTGCTCACGATAAACTCTAATTCAGGATTCAAACCTTAATTTTCAACCAGAAGGGAAGCTACCTAGCATATTAAAGGCTTCTTGCTTAACATAAAGCCTGAATGCTAAGGATTAAACCTGTTCAAAAGTGAGTGGAAAATATTTGCTGATGTCTCTGCAGCCTTACTTGAAATCAACCAGTGTTTAACTGACGCCAAGTGTCTAGGTTTTTTGAAAAAAGAAAAAAAACCACAAACAAACAAAAACCCCACAAAAATCCAAACTTAAAAACCCTATAAAATTAAGTAAAACAGAGATTTTTCAGACAGAAAAATAGAGCAATATTTATCAGCTACACATAGTCTAAAGTTGTACCTCCAAGCTTTAAAACCTTCATAGCTTTTGTGTATTTTATCTATACTGAAATCTTAGAAGGGCAGTATCAAGCAAAAAAAGGTATGATTTAATCAAACCATTAAACAAAGTTCTTATCCTGCCAGAAGGTAGAGGTAACAGACAACTAGGTACTACCACTCTGCTTTCACTGGAAAGTATGAGTATTTGAAAGAAGCATCATGCAGTCAGAGTGCCATGGGCACAAAGCAGAGAGAAAGTACGAAAGATTAATGATGGTAAACCTGTTTGGAAAGTTTGCTGATCCTGCTAATTACCTATAGACGTTAAGTGCATGAGTGCGCGTCCTTGACATGCAACAGAACAGAACATCTGCATTTTCTCTGGTCCGCCTGGGCTACAAAATACCAGTTTCAAATGTTACCGGCAGTGAGAATGGAAAGAGACAAAGAACCGATCGCTGGCATGAAACCAGGAGAGCCAAGCATCTCTGAGCAACGTAGGAGCATCAGAGTTCTGCCATTCTTTGTGTCCTCTTTGGTATGTGGGAGGATACCTGGAGAATCTTATGGCAGTGCCTGGGGATCTTATGGCAGTGGCATGAGGTGGAATAACCTTTCAAGCAATCTAAATACAGCCAAGCTTGACAACAATGCATTAAGGATTCAGAATGGACTTTCTGCAAGGCTTCTTCCCCTCCTTTTTTATTACTCTTGCACCAAGCACAGATCGGCCAGAGGAAGGAAAGCAAGAGTGTACTAAAAAAAAATCTCAAAGATTCTTAAGACACCTGAAATGATTTCATTATCTTCATTCTGACCATGGGCAGAGTATTAAATCCCTCATTAGCACACTGCAGTATCTGCCAACAGTTTTCTGACAATTATAGAAGTATGGATTTCTAATAAGACATGCACATGGGTCATATATAAAAATTTAAGCTCAATATTAAAAGGATGAAGTCTTTAATAAACAATTTGGAAGTGATGTAACTCCTTTTTTTTTTTTCTTCTCATCAGAAAAGTAATATGGAAAAAAGTATATTTTCTCTACATTTTTGTTTTCTTAAATCCCTTCTGGATTTAAAGTCAGATGGGATAAAACTAAAAGCAAAAAGAAGCCTTAATAGAAGAAAAAAAAAGAAAAAACCACCAAAAAGGAATAAAAGCATTATCTGAACTATCAGTAGTAATGCAATAACTATCCTTCCTACCATCCTACATGCTTCTATACTTTATGCAATACATCATAATGTATAGTTTGTATTTATTCGAGTCATAAAAGAAGGCTAAGATACTGTTATCTACTTAAAACACCTTTAAATATTTTGGTCACTGGGAGGACGGACTGAGGACTGGCTACAGCAATTTCTAATTTGTTAAACTGAAGCCTTGCATTGTCCCCCAGCAGACAGGTTGGAATTACTGATTTGGCAGATTTTCTCACACATGGGTTAGACTGATAAGTACAATGTACTTTCATTTAGGATGCATTTGGAAGCGACCTCTGGATTCTCATTTCTCAGATCGGTAGAAAACAGTGAAATCAGTTTTGTGCCTTCCTAAGAGCACAGTTTAACTGACGTAACTCTCCAGAGTGATTTACAGGATTGTCTAGCATTGAGCTACTGTTATTGCTCTCAGCATATTCTACAGTACTGATTTTCCAACTCTTTTGCTGATCATGTTTTGAATTCTCCACATATCCCCCTTAGCACTATTCCACCAATATTTTATACTGTGGATTGCTGGAGGCGGAGTGGATAATCACTACAGACCACGGTGAGAAGACTGACGACCTTTAAGAAAAAATGCATTAATACAGATCCCATTAAAATTTGAAAAAAAAAAAAGAAAAAAAGAAAAAAAAAGTAAATACATATATATATATATCTCCACCATCACTTGTCCCTCCTTCCAAACAGCCCACTCGCCTAAACATTGGTTTCAGGGAGCAGCTCTGCTGGATAAGAACCGAGTCATTCCTCTGAAAGCGCAAGACACCAGTGTTCTCACCGAAAGATTTGTTTTACAGTTAAATAGGTTACACTCTCTTCCTTTGTCCCAAGCCCACACTGTTGTATTGCTACATTATTTGAGAGTAAATTTTTACTCTTGATAAATATATAGATAAGACAACTGAAAAACATTGTACATACAATGACAACTTGAACGTCAGATCTTTGATACTTGCACTGCATGCAAAAAGACCAGTGAGAGATACCATTTCCCTCCCCCGTTAAAACCAACCTTTTCTGTAAAAGACTGCATTGAGGAACTCTTCCGCTTGCCTTTCAAAACGAATGATTTTTGCTTGCTCTTGTCTAAGCAGAGCTTCTTGTCCAGCTTCCGAGGCTGGCTCATCCAGACTGACTAAGTGTTCCTGCAAAGATATTTAATATTTGTAAGATCTTCCTGACTCCAAAATGAATACAGTTCCTTAGGCATTAAATCATTAAATATTTTACTAAATTCAAAACTTTGTTAGGTACTCAGCACAGAGTTGAATCTATTGAAATCACAACTTGATTTTTGACTGCTCCAGATCATTGTACTTTGTCCTGTTTTCATGTCATAAATGCAGCAGAAGCCTGTAAGATCCGATAGCGTTATGGGAAATAAGAGCCCACTATAAAGAAGAAGATTTAAACATTTTACAACATTTGGCTGCAAATCTCGTATCTAGCACTTGTTCTTTGGCTATTACTTTTAGTTCCAAGAAATAACCACTGAAGGCAAAACCACAGAAAGTTCTTCTTAATTTACACAGCGTTCGTACAAACTGAGCAATCATTGACCAGCATTACCAAAAAAAGGTCCTTTTGTGAAACGGCTTAGTAGTAGTAACTTTTAAGTGAAATAAACTTAAGTTGGCTGCTTACAACACCCACCATGAATTAAAATTCATTCTATCTCTTACAACTGGAAGCAACTGAGTTATCTCAAGAATATTTCAAAACAAGTGTTTTAACTAGGATAATTAAATTGTGTGAGATGCCAAGATAAATTATTCATTTTAAATGCAACTCAAGAAACTAGAAGACAACAGCTACAATATGAAATCTAAATGCTTGGATTCCCGCTCCAGACACACCATTTCTCATTTCTTTCACTTTAATGCCTCGCTCCTGCCTAGAAGAATAATCTCTTTCCTTACCCTCTCCCTCCACTTTTATTTTAAGCAATATCAAAGTTACCTGTATTTACCTACTGCAACAACCACTCTCTGTGTTGAGGGAGTGTTTTGTTTTGTTAACCTTTACAAAGTATCAGTTAACCATAATATCTAGGCTACATCTGTTTTTTTGGCCTCAACTGTACGAGCTGATTTCAGGTTCGTATCTTCATGGGACTAGAAGGGAAGGAAAGAACTGGCAATTCATTTATAATTCACAATAAATGAAAAGAAGAAGTCATTCTTAAGTTTGTACCGTCTCAACTTGGAGAGGTTTAATGAAGCAGGGTTACATAACCAGCCCACAGTAAATTAACGAACACAGCAGTCACATGAACTACGTGCAAAGGGTAATAATATGAAATGCTGTGGACTCTGGCCTGAACAACATGGGCTCTCACCTTCAGATTTGTAAATTAACAGCTTCCAAAAGTTCTCTATCAAAAAGGTATAGAGACAAAGCAGTATTTTATGCTAAAACATAAGACAAGGAGCATGTGATGACAGAGGTGACAGGTGGGTAAACCACGCTTGCTGTGAAGGCAAGAATATCCAGAAGTAAAGACCTCACAAAGTGACTGATGCTCTTTTCCATATCAGGGAGATTCCAGGCTTGCTCCCAAACTTGCTGGCTCTTGTAGGAAAAATTAGCACTTTTTAGATAGTCTTAAAGAATACGAATTTGAATTCATGAGTTAACTATAATAAAAGCATTCATCTCTGTGCCATGTACTCCTGTACCAGTAACCAGCAGTAGAGCTCCCATGGTTCACTGTCAGTTTATGAACACCGAAAATGCAGTTTTACTTTTCTGACACTTAAAATGTGAAGTATCTGTACAGGATTTCACAATAAAAATATTGGTGGGGAATAAGCCCCATACTTTTGTAAGAGCTACTCTTCAGGTGAGACTTTATAGAACATATTTGCATTCTCTTTCTGAAACTGTTTCTGAATCTGACAAAGTTTAACGCAGGATCTGTCCTAGTTATTGACAGCCATTCTGAGTCAAGCTCCATTATCTTTTCCCCATTATCAGGATAATTGTAAACTCAGCTTATCAGTTTGTGCAAAAAAGGAGACATCTGTGCAAATTAACTAAGAGAAGTAATCTAGGTATGCAGAGGTGTTGGAACAATCACTGGAATATCTAAGCATTTACAGACAAACTGCTTTAAGTTTTACTTTAAAATGAATCTCTGCAAACTGATGTGCAAAGATTTGGCTAGATAAGATCCATTAGAGTTAATTAACATCCTCTGGCTAAAGTCCCACAAGCCACTGCAAACAACTTTCTTTTAATTCAAAGGACAGAGAATTCAGAATTGAAGGAAACATTATCCCTTCAATCTGACCTGATACTCTGGCCTGTGACAGACTATAGCTCTGGAAGAAGCCTAAAATAAAAACAACCCTTGCCCAACACAACACATTTCAAATCTTCCTAGGACTTTTTGCAATTAAAACAATACATACTAAGTACTAGCCTAGCAACTCGGTGAAAATCAAGTTCCACGGCAGCATACCTCACCATAAAAAAGTGTACTTCACGTTATTCATATTAAGGTTATATATAAAGAGTATAATTTAATCTACCTAGGCTAACTAAAGCTGTACATTTTCTACATAGAGAAGGAATGAAGAAAAAGGGATCAGACAGAAAAAAAAAAACCAAACTCACAAGTGGCTTACACTGGATAATACACAGTGAATAAAGGATCGTTTGATCTGCATTCAGGAGAAGAGGGGAATACCAAGGCAATGGCAGTGCTTAGTTCTTACCCCTCGAACTAAGGAGCATTCATCTCTTTACAGGTATTGCTTTTATCAGTGCCCATGCTACGACATCAAAATGTAAAGAAATACCGTTATATAAGACAGTCAGTTTTAACCTTGTGCATAGAAAAAACTTCATCTATTTTCTGGCATCTGCAGTACAGCACTGCCTACATGAGACAAAATACACTGGAGAAATTTCTGTATATTGCGGGTTTTTATTATTTTCTTATCAATTGTGTCACAATTATTCCAGCAGTCTTTGCAGCTGGATCACCCCTAGAAGGAAATTTCAAGTTTCCACACTAAATATTTGATTGTGATTGCTATTCGAACTCAACTTCCAAAAGTGGGGTTTTTTTTGTTTGGTTTGAGGGTGTGTGTTTGGTTGTTTGGTTTCGGGTTTTGTGTTTTGGGGTTTTTAAAATGTTTTCCACCATTTTTTCCCAATAACCATTATTTGGATCCACTGTCTTCGGTGTCATCCTCTCACTGTACAGTCCTGATTCACATCAAAGTTTTCAGTACCAACATGCAGGTAGAAGGAAGAACAACCTATTAATATTTAGATAGCATTGTCATTGTTTACAAATACCTGGAAAAAACCCAACCAGTTTTTTACATATTATTTATAACACAGCATTCATTCTCTTTTCTTTGTGCTTCTCTTCAGGTGGCAACCATGCCCCAGAGCATCCCTAGAATCCCAGCAGAGAACATGCAGTACCACTATACTGAACACTACTGCTTCAGGAAAGATACTTGGAGTGGTTTGCACCCGCTTCCAAAGGGCTAAAGCGTTTTTATACGTTAAGATACAGCGCACAACTGCATAATTAAGTCAAAGAGCCTTAGAAATACAGAGCTCAGGTTTTCAAAATGCAAGGTCAATGCATGACCTTGAGAGACCACCTAATCCTGGACAGCCCGGCCTTATCAGCACTAGTACTGGATCCGCATTGAGACCCTCCTTGCAGGAAATGCTGATACAGAAATTCTAAATGATAAACTGCTGGCATGAAGAGAAAGGTATGATGCAGGCTGGTTTTGTATAGATACAGCAACAGTAGCTTCATGTTTAAGCTACAGGCTGCACGCAGATGGTGCAGGAAGCACCCACAAGCTAGAATAGTACGAGATAATTCCTATCCATCTTCATGGAGAAAACAGAGGGAGGCTTCCCACAGACCATCCGTGGCTGACCGGCCAATCCATGGACTCTAGGGATACAATCCAGCCTTCCACCCCACAGCAAAATCAGGAACAGTGAGTAAGAAAGGAATGTTACAGCATCCCTAGGTTGTCTTCTCCAACAATTTTTCTTAAGACTGTACAGTCTTTTTAACTCTTAGCCAGTGCAAAGGAGAATAATTTACTATTTTCTCTGGACAAGCCTTAAGGGCACCAGAAGCTGTCTTCTCTCCTGCCTTCAAGATCGAGTCATTCTTGTTGCTTTCATTTCAATGCTATTCAGTTTGTTTACATCTCTCAAAACGCTACACCAGCTGAGGTTCCACCAGCATTTAGGTTTTCCTCTCCAGGTATTAAGACAAATGCCTCTCCTGATATAGCCCCAAAAATACTTTACTCCTTTTACAATGCTATCACTTTTCGGACATCTGTAACTTGCGACTCAACAAGTCTGTGTGTCCTGCTTCTCAAATTTATTGAGATAATTTTCAGTTCCGAGCATTTTCTTTAAAGCATCTACAACTGTTCCCAGCTTGGCATCAACTAAAAATTCAGATGGTTTAATTAGTTTTAAGACATCCCTCACTTACTGAACATACATACTTTTGTAAGAAAACAACAGTACTATTTCCTTATTAAGGTAACTGATGTCAGATTTATCAAATTCAAAACAAATTTAACTTAACTGATCCACATCTATTGAATATAATTTATTATCTATAGTAGGGGAGAGAGAAGGAAAAAAAATAAATCAGTGGAAATACAATATACTTACATTGACATTTATGCATAAGCAGAACTGTAACCCCACATTACTACTAAACACAGCTGGAGATTACCACAAACAGCCTCTTCAGGTTTTAGCCTCCATATCAAATTATTTTAAAACCATCCCATACAAAATTGACAATCTAAATGCTTAAGTTTTTTAAAGTGATGAAATCCATTAAAAATGTTTTAGTGCATCTTCCAGTGGACTTAGGATCTCCGTACACAGTTTAAACACATTCTAAAGCCATCAAAAATGGTACAAGTTCCATAACTTCAACTCAATTTCAGACATTTCCTTTGCCATCTTCAATTATTCTATGAGTTAATGCTTTAAATGACAGTGGTAGTTTCCCTTTGGAATTATTCAGACACTTACCACAGTTTACTTCTTATTGTTTACGTTCCTCCATAGTGAAAGGACACCAGATTCAGAGGCTGTTACTATGACTAATCACGATCAAGTAATGGCATGATATTACCTTCTAGATGTTTGTGTAAAGCAATTACTTACAAGCTTTTGAAAATATCCAAATCATATCAGAGTAACTTTGAATTTTAAAATGACTTCATTTGCTGCACCCTATCACGCTTCTTCACAACTGAAAGAATCATTAGAGGTCCTTACTCTGAAGTCCAGGTATTTTACAGTACTTTGAGGACCGGACTCAACCTTCTGCCACCAACAGCATGAGACTCCAGAGCTGCTCCTAGAAGTCATTTTCTCTCTTGCTATTTTTGTAGCTTAAATATATCTATAAAATAGTTAATGTGCTTAGGAGTATTAGCCTTCTTGTTCTGCTCTCACCAACTAATGAGATTAGTTGTCTGTGTCCCCCTCTCCTTTTTTTTTTTTAAATACATATGAATTGCTTTATGTAGCTTTAGACAGTAGTGTTTCCTTTTTCAAATGAATATACTCAACAGATTCCTCTTTAAGGATTCTTTTTCCAGTTTCCCCTCTTACTACTGGTGGCATTATTTATCTGCATCTTTTTAAAAACAATAAATCTTAAACTAGGCTTGGGCTCCAACTATGCACAAATGACAGCAGAGACTACCTTGCTTGATACCAACATTCTACATGGAGCCACAGATTTATTCTGTAGTGATAGCTCTGTCAGTTTATTTAACAAGGCACACTGAAAAATTAAGAACCATAATTAAAAAGAGATAAGTCAAGCACACTTAAAGTTCAATTTGTCTGAATTGATGGGTCTTCTCTGCACCACAAACTCTTAGAAGGAAAAGTTTCATTAGAAAAAAACACCAACCAAAACACTCAAACACCTTGCAAACTATACTATCTGAAATCTTCCCTGTAAAGGATAAAGCCCACAAGGAATTGAGAAGCACCACATTTGCAGATTATCCAAATGAGAATTCACTGGGTTTGGTCCCATAAAGCCCAGTCTGCTTCCTCTCACTGTGAGTAGGCAGCTAGAGCTGCTGATTTTGTCTTTTTTGTCTTTCATGCCAATCAATGTACCCATGCATTTTTGCACACAGGCACCCATGTTAATAACCTGGTAGCAGCTCCTCAGATAACTAGTTACTCTCTGATCATACCGTACTGAAACAACTGTGTATTCTGCATTATATGACGGAAAAAAAAAAAAATTCCAATTTCTAAAAGCTTTATATTATTGCATATAACCCTTTGGATTCAGGTAAAAACATGCCTGGGAAGATTTTAGCTCCCTACTTCACCTGTATCTTATTACCCTTTGAAATGAAGACACTGAAGTTCATTCCTCTATCAAAAACTGTCTTGTATTTTGACTGCCAAAAAATCCATGCATTTGCAATTAGAACTACTGCTACAAATAAATTAATCTTTTCAGAATACTTCAGCAGATGGTTCTCCATCCTTTGAAGAATGCATGTAATTGAATCTGATTGCTTGCAAAAGCAAGAACCAACATCATTGGATGTTGGTGGAAAAGCAAGCGCCGTTTTTTCCCCTTTAAACAGCTCTGCCAATAAACTAATCTTGGCCTCCAGTTCTCATCCTGCAGTCCAGAACTCAATTCTCCTTAAGCACAACTACTGGTGTCTGAAGTTACAGGTAATTCTTAAAAGCAAATGAAATCCAGAAAAAACAATCTAAAAATTTTTATTGGTTTTGAACTTGTCAGACAAGGTACCCACATGTCACTCCAAGGTGAAAATCAAGTACATTGATTAATTATGCCACTAATCTAAAAGTGGCTATTGGTAGAGATGTACTCATTGCAAAAAAAGGCCAGCCACAGCCACACACTGTTGTAATATCTTAGTTGTGGCTATCTTGCTCCCAGCTACATCAATTACATACCTTTTGGTTCTGTAGCTCAGCAGCATACAAGCACAAACCCAAATCATCCCACCCTCCCCAGTTCTCTTCCTAAAAAGGTAAGCTGGTGCACATGAACAATAAAAAAAAAAAAGTAGAATAGAGGATGTGGCACAGAAAGCACAACTGCTACCACTTTAAGTACAGGAACAGACAGGTTTTAGCAGTTACAGAAGACTGGGTCTGCAACTCCCTAAAAAGAAGAGTTAATGGTATCAGTACAGATGTTGAAGGGAAGATATTTCAAATAAACTAGTACCATTTCTAATTGAGTTCAGTCTATCAGCTGAAGATCATCCATTATTTGGCTAAATACCAATAACAGTTAAGTCTCTGATGTTTTAATTCAAATTATGATGTTGTTAAATTCATGCTATTTGAAGGCTCCCATAAAGTGTCATATTTAACTCTGTATTGCAAGCTAATAACATTGGCAATGGCCAGCAGCGCAGCAATTGCGTGGACCCATAGAGGAAAGGAAGCACTCCTGCCCTGCCACCTCTCTCAGCTGACCTACAAGAACTCACTGGGTCTAAAAGGAGTCATATTCTTCCCCCCGCACCCTCCCCAACTCCCCAAAAAAACAAACAAAACCAAAAAGAAATCAAATCAAAAACCCAAAAAGCCCAAACCCAACAGAACTGATATAGAAGCTAGGGGAGGCGGGGGGAAACAATCCTAAAAAAAAATCCTACATACTCCAAAGAAGCCTCATGCCAAGCATGAAGAGAATCACCAAGACTAACAGAGAAGTCGCAAAACTGATTCGAATGGACTAGTTCATCCTCCTTCCCTGCTCCCCCAGCCAGTGATCCCTGGCCATGTGGCAAATGAGCACGTGCACAAAGCTCTCTTTGCTGTCCCTGTTTAATCAAACAGCTGTAAGAAACTTGATCTAACAGGTATTTTTTGCTACTGAGATGCAAAGTGACAGAAATTGCTTGGGTTTTATTTATAAAAATTAATCTACCCAAGGCCACAGTGGTTGACTGACAGTATCACAGCCTTTCTTAACCCACATTTCTCTCCAGCCTGCTCAGAACTTACAACCTCCTTCCTCTTCACCTCACACCTCTGCCTAGCAATGCTGCACACCCCTGCAGCGTTCTGTGTCAATCTGTACATAATCCTAAAATCTTCTTAGACCTCTGATGCCAAAACACCACAGAGCACACCAGATGTGACCACATCTGCATCTTTCCTTTTGCCCATTGAAAAGCCACCACACAGTACAATAGGAAACCATGTGAGGATCCTTAACGTAAACAGTAACTACCACCAGCATAAGGAACACATCGCCAGTTTTTCAGTGATACTTACAGTCACGGGCTACACTTTACTATGTGAAACTAGAAGGAAAACCTAGCAAAGTACATGAAAATATAAATAGTAAGATCTCAGCTTCTGATTAAAGGTTGTATGGAAGCTTGAATAGGACAAGACTACCATGCCTAATCAGCACACTATAAGGTGGACATTCGTGTTCTTAGTTTTAGTCTTTACCTAACAATCACTGATTTTCAGCAACTTTATTTTAGTTATTGTGGACCTATGAGGATGATTGAGAGGTAAACAGTCTTTTTAAGATCTACCCATACACTGTCAGATTCTCCCAGGCTACAACCAGTCTCTGACCACAAAATCAATTTCTGAATCAATTCAATGGCTTAACTAGAACTGTGCTATTCTGTCTTTTTATGAGATGACGTAAGTCGAACAAGACAGAACTCCTTACAGCACAAGCACACATACAGCTTACCTGCTGTCAGTTTCAATGAAAGAAAGTATTATGCTTTAGGACTGTTCTAAACACAAGTGTTCCTAACCCCACTCCCCATGCCTTAACAAAAACAAGCATAAACTCGCAACACGGCAAGCATCAGTGTCAACAAGGTCCTTCCTTCATGAACAAGCCATGCTTTTGTTTCATTCCTAAGTTGGTAGAGATCCACTCTGCATGTTATTTTACATTGTGCAGGAAGAAGTAGTAGTTACAAGTTCCAGCAAATGAAGTTTTGCCGAGACAGATGAGCCTTCCTTCCTATGCTATAGAATAATCATTATTTCAACACACGGCTGAGCAACAATCACACACAGCACGATAGCCTTTGTTTCATATACAGCTATAATCTCGTTAAGAAAACAAGCTGCAAGTTTATTATGTTGGCAATGCTGACTTGTCCACGTTTAGACTGACTTGGTTATAAACAAGCACAGTACAAAATCTACCATACATATGACCCCTTTAATAAAAAGGATTTGGCTCACAGGGAGATTCCAAGACACAAAACAAGACTCCAGGTTGTTAAAATGGACCACCTTTCCACGCTGAAGATAAGCCCAGCGTCTGACTGTAGTAAACATGCACAAGCCACAGATTGGCTCCCTTGGGAAGGGGTTTATGATCCCAATAAGATCTCTTACAAAGAACACAAAAAACCCCAAACAAACAAAAAACACCAAATAGAAAGAGCCACTACATAGGAAAAAAAATAATTAAAATCTCCATCACATACTACAAAGAAAAAGTTGCAGAGAAGAAGGAAGTCTGTTCATTAACTTGCATTATTTTAATTCAGAAAGCCTTTTTCCAAAGGAGGGGAAAGGGGTAGGAGGTTGCAGATTTTTCTATGTTCAGTTAACTAGGAGCAGCAAACTCCCTCCCTTTGTCCCTCCCCTACAACTACTAGCTTCACCCATCTGCATTGTTACCTTCACTTTTTCTCTTCTCAGGCAGCAGAAAAGACAATTTTCATCAAAAGACCAATCAGAAACACCTTCAGGCTCACAGTCTGTAAATCAGAGGAATAGCAAATTACTTCATATTCATAACCCACGACACAACTGGAGCCAAAAGAGAAACGCCGAATTAAATACCTGTTTCACAACATTCTTGCCTGCATTCTGAGGATGCAGGCTTCATTTCGGCCATTTTTCTAAATCCCCAGATTACCAAACTGTATACATTTTATCTACGCACAACAAATCTGTTTTTCCAAGCACTGCCAAATACACTCCCAGCTACATAAAGATGAACGCACACTCATTAGTAATTTTAGCCAATATGAAACTAACTGCGAGCACTGCCTGGGGGAGGGGGGGGGAAAAAAAAGCACAAATCACCACGGTAACACACATTTTCTAGAGGGAGAGCTGGGGCTGCTTCTGTCATTAGAAATGCAGAACAAGATACAAACATAGAGATAGAATACCTTTAAACAAACTGAGATCTTTTAATAATCCAGGTCCAAACAGGCCTTCTAGAATACTTTCAAACCCTAAAAGCAAATAAAAGAATTGTTAGCTTTCTAGATTAAGTACGTCACTACAAGAATATTCACAATAGCAGTTCTATATTTATCTGTTCCAAGAACAGAGCTCAACGTGTTTTCTCTAAGTATTACAAGATGCATGGGTCAATTGTGATGACTGAACTACTGACGAATCATAGCACAATCTAGAGCCCACCGACTCCCATACTTTTGCAAATGGCTAGGTTAAAACCAAAGAGCATTACGACATTGAAATAAACTCTTTCAAAAAGAAAATAGGAAGTCGTAGGTTCTACAATGTGACCAGGTGATTTCTATATGGAAAAAATTCTCTTGCTTAAGCCTCTGAAATGAAAATCAGGTACGTTTTCCCAATTAAAAAAATATATTCTTCCATCTGAGTGGCATTCAGTTACTTTTCTGAATTTCAGCAAATGTTTCCTGAAGAGTTACAGGTTTGAGGAGAGAAAATTCAAAGGAAGGGGATTTAGCAGTGCCATGCCACTAAGGAACCAAATTTCAATCACAGATCCGCATCTAAGATACACAGTCCGATTTACTTCAATGCCATGATTTATGTCGCACTTAAAATAAATCTAACCAATTTTAGTTTATTCCAAAAGAGGAAAAACCTTTACCGAAATTACTGCCATTATTTGGAAATGTTAAATCAATATTACACTAAACCCCCGCTGGCAGTAAAATCTACAGAGCTATTAACCACCCAATACTACAAGAAGACAGGTTAGCAGAGTGAATATGAAAAGTACAAAGACTACTTTAAGGGGGACAGACAAATTCCACCTGCTTATAACAATGAATTCCCAATACAACCATAAAAATCAAGACTACAACACACTGTATTCCTCCCCCCCTCCCCCGTCCCCATGAATACTTTTGCTTTGTAGGTTTAATAACAGCTTGCATATAGCTAGGGGCAGCTTCTCCTACTTGTCTGAATCTTTGACAGGCAGAAGAAGTAATGCAAAAAAAAATATTTAAGACACAAAAACATGGTTTTAAATTTACAAAAACTTGCATGGGTGAATCAGGGACAGATAAACTACCTGAAACAGCCCTTCTAAGAAACCAGTTGAAATGTAAATGATCACATGCTATGAAGGAAATCAGTTATTACATTGCAAAAGAGCAATAATTCTAACATAACTCTGACTATACACAGATCTAATCTCAAAGTTATCTTTTGGACAGCAGTCTTCAAAAGGAAGGGACAAGTTGTGGTACATCCCTCTGGGTGTCAGCAAGAGTGCCAGTGCACTAACATCTTTAGGTATCAGATGCAGGACCCTACAGAATTTGCAGCCTGCAACACGACCAAAGCATTGCCAGGGCACACCACCACTCTTGATCTAATGTTTATCAGAGGTTGATACTAAAAATCTAATCTCAGAAAGCACTGAGTGGAGAACAAAAAAAAAGGTGAAAGAGTGACGGTGAAATAACAGTCAAAAGTAAGGAGAAATAGGGGTGAGATCAGAAAACAAGGTGGAAGAGGAGAAACTGGAAAAACATCCCATTGAACAGCACCTTGTCAGGCAGAGAAGTAGCACTGCCTCCAAAAAAAGCCAATTCAGGCTTCAGGAAGTGGCAGGAACAGTGGGAAAGGGTCGACCAACCTGACCTAGAAGAAAAATAGGAGAATCAGGGTATTGACCCATAGGTTTATAACGCTGACTCTTATGAGTAGTGACCCCTCAGAATTTGTACCTAAAATGCAACCTTAAGAAAAAGAGCTAACCAACCTCATTCTTTATCTTTTTTGTTTAAAAAAATATATTTTTAATATATATAAATAAAAATCAGAAGAGCTCAGAAATTTTACTCAAACTCACCACTCTCAAAATAGTAACTGCCAATGACTCATGCCCCACAGTTTGCCATGCATGCAATTGCACACTGAAGCCCCTGCCAAGTTTTACAGCTTGGATATTGTACAATCATGGTTTGCTAGCCCACAGTTCTCAGTGATGCTAATGCCACTCGGTTTTTATTAATATTAAATATTGGATTTAGCGGTTGCATAGCAACAGCAGAACATCTTATGTGCGACGCTTGACATTAAAAAAGGCAAATAAGGGAAGTATGAATGTATTCAAAAATTACACTAAAGACTGGCGAAACTGCCACGAAGCTGAGCCCTATCCCCCCGCAAACGCAGAGTGCAATGCAGTAACGACAGTGTAAGCCCTGCAACGTGGTATTCAGCCATCCAGGACGCCAAAAGAGCAACTGCGTACAGTTAATCATGCATAATACACTGAAAACAAAATCTTGAAAAAGGAGCTGCCTACTTTTCATAGTATTTTTTTCTCTCCATTGTCACTGCTCTTAGAAGCTTGAAAAGAACATTTCTTTTCTCACGGACTGTCCTTTTCCATTTGGCAGATGATATTTTCCTGCATTTCAAATGGAACAGAAATTAACATGGCTGCCTCTGCTAAATTCTGGTTACTCTATTTTCATCATGTATATTTCAGTGTCTGACAGTTCACAGCAGCTGAAGAGCAGGGCCAGTGGAAAAGTTGCAGGAATAACAGAATTAGAAGACAGGAAAAGAGATGAAGATCGCAATATTTCAGAGCTTTCTCTTAGATACGTTTCTCACAATTAAAGCAGCCATATATTTAATCCTTATAATGTTACTGGTAACCTACACAAGGAAAATGTCTTTTGGGTATTAGTGTAAGAATTTAGAAAAAAAGGGTTTAATTTTTTTAGAAATTCAACATTTACAAAGCAGAAACTATCTTCTCTATCTCAGACGGCTCTCCCGCAAGTGAAGAATTAGAAAAAGAAAAAAAAAAAAGGAAAAAAATCTCAGAAAGAACAAAGAAAATCCTTAGTAGTGAAGCAAAGATGGAATAACTTTTTAAATGCAGAGATTGTTATACACTTCCTACTATTTCAAAATTGTTAGCTCTAAAATAATATTTAAGAAACATTATTCTCTAAAATATCCTCTGACAAAAATCAGAATATAGATGTGCCAGAGGGAGAGGGAGAGGGAGA